AAAATATTTTTTTAAATCCAATTTACATATAAAATTACTGAATTGTATTATGTATAAATACATTAATAAACAAGATAGAAAAAGAGATCCAAAGGAGGATTAAAGACAAATTTCCAAATAGCACAGCCCATCTCTCGCCAACATAAAGTGATGAATATCAGTCAGATGGCTTACAGGACACTTAAGTAAGGCTAGGAAAATTTTACATTGTCATATAGCATCACGACTATTATTGCTAAAAAATAATTTATGGTACAAGTAATTGTTAATATGACAAAACTGGTATAATTAATCTATTATGCAACATCACACCTGCATGTTATTTGTATCTGTATTCCCAAATTTTAAGATCAGTTTTAATATAAAGACATTAAGAAACAGAAAAGCAGCTTTTCTGTGAATTTAGTTATAGAATATTAACAATCTCAAAGTCATCCATCCAGAAGCAGCAGAAGTAAGTCTAGATGGAAAAATGAATTGCTGACTGGCAAAAGGTCTTCCATGGTTTGTAGATATATGACTTAAGAGCTCACTGGGATCCTGCAACATGCTCCAGTCAAATACCATCCATTGTTTGTAAGTCTCATATAGATCATGTACAAGACTTCAGGCTTTGGATTTGGATAAAGACCTTTCTTAGAATGGTTTTTACCATCAGCCCCTGCTAATAACTTACTGCATATGAATCACATTCTCGTGTACCTGGGAAACAGCAAAGTTTCCATCTTTGAAGTCTCCCCCCCCCCCCCTTGGTGTCAGTTGCCTACGTGAAGAGAGTGAGTTCAGGGAGCAACTACAGATAGGGCAAGAATTCCCAGTTTGGGGAAATTAGATGTTTATGAGGCCCCTTTCTTTGTGTCAGTGTTACTTAGTACCTTTTTTGTTGCTGTGATAAAATACCTTGACAAAAGCAAGTTAGGAAAGAAGGGTTTATTTAGCTCACAGCTCCAGGTTACACTCCATTGTTTCAGGGGAGTCACAGCATCAGGAGCTTGGTGTTGCCAGTCACATTGCATCTGCAGTCAAGATGCAGAGAATGATGAAGGCTTGTGCTGAGCTTATACTTTTTATATACTTCAAGATCCCACCCAGCCCAGGGAGTGATGCCACAGTGGGTGAATCCTCCCGCCTTGATTAACCCAATCAAAGATGATCCCTCATAAGCATGCCCTGGACAATTGAGCTTAATCATCACAAATGTTTATACCCTATGGTAAGGTTTATTTTCAAGCATTTTACATCTAAGTGTTCTTCTTAGTAGTCATACTTTGACCTTTTAGAGCCCTCTGGATCAATAATCCAGCCCTCAGCTGAGTTTTAGTTGGTTGTTAGAGATGGTTGCTTGAGAACCCGACTTTAGTCCTTTGCAAAAACAAGAAGTGCCAAGCTGCCTCCTCAGGCCCAGCCACTTTGCTTTTAGAGACAAGGTCTCTCACTGGAACCTAGGCCTCACCAGTAAGACTAGGCTGGCCAGCCAGTGTCTCTACTCCTGCTCCTATTTCCCCATTGCTGGGATTATAAGTGCATGCCACTGTGCCTAGCTTTTTGCTCTTTATAGACTGAGCTAGTTCCCCAACCCCTAAAGGGAATATTGCTAGCTTGACAAACATTGTTATTGGAGAAATGGCAGTGGAATCCTATACCTTATTTTGATTTTCCTCATTTTAGAAGGGACTACAGTCTTGCAGAAAATACATGAGTTTTAATATCCTAAAATGCCAGAAGAACATGTCTTTCTGCTTATCTGTGAACATTTAACACCTGATTATACAAAGAAACTTATTCTAAGGGGTAAATAACATTTTTAGACAACCATTTTAAAGTTTTTTATTACATTTTAAAATTTGAGGTGAAAGTGTTTATGTGGGCACGTGCATGCAAGCACTTCACAACACATGGAGGTCAGAGGACAACTTGCAGGAGTCATTTCTCTCCTATCATGTGCGTCCCAGGGACTGAACTCAAGTCATTAGGCTTGGCCACAAGTGTCTTTACCTGCTGAACCATCTTGGCAGCCCCAGGCCAATTAATTTTCGATTGCTGATTCAGTGGTATACTTTTCCAAGTCGTGTGAAGTTCTACACTTCTGCGGTTCCTGCCTTCAGCTTCTGATGCCACACATAGCACTGTGGCCATTCTGAAGGTCACCAGAGCTGGGGGCATGCTGACCCTCTGTGCCTCTCTTTCAGCATCCAGTGCTTGATGAGCCCATAGCTGAAGCTGTCTGTATCATCGCAGACACAGACAAATGGACCGTCCAAGTGGCCACGAGTCAGAGGAAAGTGGTGGACAGCATGAAGCTGGGCCAGGATGTCTTGGTTTCTAGTCAGGTGTCCAGTTTACTGCAGTCCATTTTACAACTCTACAAGCTTCACCTTCCTGCTGATTTTGTAAGTATTTGGTCTTCTGTAAAAACATATATAATTTAAAAATACTTTGAACAACATTTTGATTATAAAAAGCACAAATTCAGATGTGTTAATTTTTTTAATTTTTTAAAAAAATTTTATGTGTATGAGTGTTTTGCCTGCATGTATGTCAGTGCACCTGTGAGTGCAATGCCCAGGGAGGCCAGAAGAGGGTGCCAGATTCCCTGGAACTGGAGTTAGCCACCATGTGGGTGCTGGGAATTGAACCCAAGTCCTCTGGGTCAGTGCTCTTAACTGCTGAACCATCTCTTCAGCCCCTGACCCATTCTTTTTATTTGCAGGTTAGCATTAAGGAAAAATGGAACACGCAACATAAAACCAACAGTCAGGGTACATCCAAGTACAATAGCCTTTCTGTAAAACAAAGGACATAGAGTTACTTGTGTACCACAGTCTTTTTGAGCAATGTAGATTGTAAAATAACTAAGGCAGGGTGAGAGGGAATCAAACATAATGGGAAAATTTAAATCCTGCATTGGAGCACATACTCATTCTCCGGTCTTCAAGAATATGAGGCAGATAAGTTTCTGAGGGGTTGTAGTTTCTTTTGTCCAGGGACCACCCTCAAAAGCATTGCAGGTAAATATGCACTTTGTGGAAGTGCTGTGTGTGATGTACCAAGCACTTAAAATGTGTCTCAGCTGTTCCTTTCCCAGTGGGATTTTTTAAGATCATTTTCATAACATTTTGAATAGAAATGACAACCTAGAAAGTCCTAGAAAATTATTAGCAGCACTCCCCTAGTCAGTGGAATATTCATAACACATTCTTTTTGCTATATGATATGTGTACAGAGAGCTTGAAAGAGGAAATATATTCAGAAAGTAAGAAAAACTAGTTTGAAACAAGGAGAGGAACTAAAGGCACGTAGCTAAGACAGCCTAGCCGTGCTGGCGCCGGGGCCACACCACTTGGAAGAACCTGCTTTCTCTGCCTAACTCCCTGCAATACAGGGCTGCTCTTTCATCGCAGCAAAGCCCCAGGCAAAACTTGTCTCCCTTCTGGCCTCAGAAAATGACACAGAACTATATAACAGTAAACTATTTAACAGCTGAATATGAGTTAAATAAACTAATTTCCAATTCACTTGTCATTTTTCTATTTTCTTGTAGCCAAATCCTAAGTTTCACCAGTTTCCACACACCCAGTCCAGACTCTGATGAAGGTGCTCCAAATTCTGGTTGTAGAAGCAGTGGCAGGGCAGGGAGGCTGTGGGACATCACTGCTGAGTCCCACTTGGCCATTAGGTGGTTGTGTGATGGTGGACAGTTCTGACTGCCTCTGAAGCTCCAGTGTCTGGTTTGTAATGTAAAGATAGTACAAGTGTACTGTGAGAATCCTCTGAAAATCAGGGATAACATGCTGCTTTATTAAGCTGTCAAAGCACCACCCTAATACTAGATGCTTTAAAGGCCAGTTTGTGTACATTCGTGGCCTGCGGACGGGCATCAGATCTAGTTCCTAGTTCTTCTTACGAGCCGTGTTACCTCTCAGAGCCTCGGTTTCCTTATCTGTACTTCTGAAGAAATAATAGAACCTGCTACATATGCTTATGAAAATTTATTCATGTAAAGCATTTAGAATAATGGTAGATATTGTAAGCACTCAGTAAAAGAGTATTGCTATGTACCAGTTGAACAGTATTAATTGTATAAAAACTAGCAACGCCTTTGAAAATCTTTATTTAGGCCCTTAACTGAAGCACGCTCTTACAGGATGCCTGTCCCAGGGGTAATATGAGAAGCATTTAGGGTTATTATGACCTTGTCTTCTGTCCTATATTTGTAGGTGGCTTTTCTTCTAGAAGCAGGATGAATTGTCCGGATTTGGAGGTGTACGTGGCCTTTTCTGCAAGGGAAAGGGAGGCTTTAGACTTGATGGTAGTTAAGCATGTAGTTAAGTAAGTAATGACTTACTTAACCTCACAAAATCAAAATCAAAGAATATTCCATCTGCAGTTTAAAATTCTCTTAAACATCACTTGTCCAGAACATATATAAGGAACTTCAAATAACTAAAATTTTGGAAGTTGAAAATGGCATTCCACTCAAGAATAAAATCCTAGAAAGGGAAAATTTCCCCTTAACACAATTCTGTTTGATAATGAAGCTTTAAAATAGTTTCTAGATATGGGGCTAGAGAGGTGGCTCAGTGGTAAAGAGCACTGGCTGCTCTTACAGAGGACCCAGATTCGGTTTCCAGCACCCACATAGTGACTGACAACCATCTGCGACTCCAGTTCCAGGGGATCCTCTTCTGACCTCCATGGACACTGCACAACATGGATGCACTTAAAAACATGCAGGCAGTACACTGCACTTTTAATTTCTAGATGTGCTTTTTCACATTTAGTATACTTTTTTTCTGTGGACTATGAAAACACTGCACATTAACTACATTAATACATAAAGAATTCAACATAATACAGATGTTTCTTAACACCCAACTCTTAGTAAAAACTTGGTATTTTACTGGATAATAAACTGAAACTTGATAGGAGGAAATCCCTCTACCACTTAACAGTTTACTTAGGAGAACATTTCCATGAGAATTGGTGAAAGCCCCCTTGCTTTGGTTAGTACTTACAGGCAGTTGTGTTTCATTCCCAAAACAGTGTACTTAAGATTTTTAAGCCAATGAGAAGCTGAAAAGCACACATCTCTGACAGACACTTTTCCTCTGTCGTTGATCACCCCTTATAGTCAGGATCAACAATTTCAAATGCATCTGTTAATCTTTTTACCTGGAAAATAACAGGCCTAATGGTCTAGAAGGAAATTATGTATGATGGAATTACTCTGCCAAAGCTATCAGGTGTCTCCAGGAGATACCTGGGTAGCTGCCTGCCAAATGCAAAAGCATTTGCCTCTGGTGAAAGACACAGATGGTTGCCATTCTCTAAAAACTGAAGTTGGATACAGTTCCACGGGTAAAGATGTCCCCCAAACAATTGTCTTCCCTTTTGTTATTAAAGACCTACGGTATACTCTTGAAAGCAAAACAGAAATTTCAGAATGACCTTGTTCTAATCATTCTACTAGGAATGTACTATGCCAGAACAATCTTAAGATACAGGCAGAAAATAATAACCAAAACAGTCTTTACAAAATTATAACCAAAATGCAGATCATTCTGTGGTTAAGTAAATAATGCTAAGTTAGCATTCAATAGAATATATAGCTGTAAAAATTAATCAGAAAGGAATGCTTCACATGGGAAAGTTATTAGTAAGTTTTTTTTAAAGCTGGTAAGTTGTGTGGATAAAGACAAAGACAGGTGAAAAAATTAATCTTCCTTTGCAGCCCAGAACACTCTGTTCAGTAATTTTGGTATACATAAAAAGGAATATGATCCTTGAGATAGTAATGATGGTATTGATAAAGTGGTTGGTTCTAAGAATGAAAAGTTGAACATTTAAAAACAAAAAGACAGGAAATATTTATACCTATAGAATGATTTCAACTATATAAAAATGCTCTTTAAAAATACTGGAATGATATATAAAAATGTTCATAGTCATTTTCCAAAAAAAGTTATAGCTGATAATTTTGTGGGTATATTCAGAAGGGATGGGATTATAGTTGTGTATATGGAAATGAACCTCGACTCTTAAAGATCCTGACTGGTGCTGGAATTAGTCCTCATTGTGAATATTCTTGGCTTTGCAGTGCATCATGCATCTGGAAGACAGACTCCAGGAGATGTACCTTAAAAGTAAAATGCTGTCTGAGTACCTCCGAGGACACACACGTGTGCATGTGAAAGAACTGGGTATGGTGCTGGGGTGAGTTCTGTGAAAGCCTGACCTTTCTCTCTAGTCTCTCTGTCTCTCTCTAGCTGTCTCCCCCCCGCCCCCCCCACAGGGGTCCTTAAGCATGTGCCATTCTATACCTGCAGGATTAGTGACTCTCAAAGTGTTCAGGGTCCCTCAGAGGTGTGCCTCAGCCACTCCCCAGTGAGTTGTAGGACATAGGCTAGAGCAACATTCAAGCCCATGGGCTCTACGTGTGCATCTCTAGTAACACAGTAAGATGTGAAAGTCACAAGAGTCAGGGCAGCAGCTTAGCTCACATGCTCGAGCGGTGGGAAGGCACTTCTCCCGGACCTCCTGGGCTCCTGCAACACTCTACTGCCTCATTTCACTGCAAGCCCACCCAAGAGGAGGCTTGCTCACATTGCTAAGGATACATACCATCTTCCAGAGGGCACTGGTCACAGCTTCTTTACAAGAAATTCTGACTTTTTTCATTTGAACTATCAGTATAGAAATGACAAAAAAGATTCTGTCTATGAGAAATTCTCCCCCGTATTCTTGATGATTCTGCTTCCTTGGGATAAGAAAGCACTGTGTTTATAACGCCAACCTTTAAGTTCTCTAATAAACCTGATAAAGTATTTATTTAGTCAGACAGCTAGTTTTGTTTGGCCTTTAGGGGGGTTGATCATTTGCTTGTTTGTTTTGTTATTGTTTTTGAGACAGGTTATCACTGAGTAGCCCCAGCTGGTATTAAATTCATGATCTCAGCCTCCCTACTACTGGAATCATAAGCATTTGTCACTATGCCTGCCTCTCAGAGTGTTAAATATTTTTTTTGGCTTATTTTTATTTTAATTTTTTGGATAGGGTCTGTGTAGCCCTGGCTAGCCTAGAACTCCCTGTGTAGACCAAGCTGGCTTCAAACCCTCAGACATCCACCTTCCTCTGCCTCCTGAGTCCTAGGATTAAAAGCAAGTGCCTCCACACCCAGCCTCAAAGTGTTATTTTCTTAAAGATGTTATTTGTTTGTTCAAGATTTTATATATATATATGCCGTACTCACAGAGGCCAGAAGAGGGCATCTGATCCCCGAGAGCCAGAGTTAAGGCAATTATGAGCCACCTGACACAGGTACTGGGAATTGAACTCAGGTCTTGGAAGAGCAGCAAGTGTTCTTAACTACTGAGCCATCTCTCCAGCCCTCAGTGTTATTTTAATTCGGAGGCCTTGACTTCTTATCAGATTGTCTATCTTTCACACCCAGATGTGACTGTTTTGTTTGACTGTTAGCTTTTCCTATCAAACATTCTTCTTACATAATTCATTTAAAAATATTTTCCCCTTTTGAGGCATCTAGCTTATGCAATTAACTTGTGTTTTTGCTGTTTTCTGCCCTTAGCTTTTGGTTTTTACCCCTTGTTAGCCTCATACTGTAACCCTGCCTCTGGTTTCCCCATTGCTAGGTTTGGTCCCTGCCTGACAAATTTAGAAAAATTTTTAATTTTTGGAATTTGAGGGTAGCAATTAGATTATATTCCACAGATTGAAACTCTCCAGTTTTTCCCCCACAACACCTGGAAGACCATATTGTTGCCCAGCATGCCTTAAGAGAGCAGCCCACACCATGTCCATCTGAAGCTGTGGCACCTCTTACTAGTTCACTCTGTTCTCAGACACTATGGCTGGGTTCTCAGTGAGACTGAATTACAGGACCTGCTGCAACAAATCTCCAGTGTTCAAAGGCCTTCCTCATTTTCCTGAGAGGAATTATTATTCAAGGACAGGTACAGAATCTGTGTGCCTTCAGGAGGAATGAAGAGATGCTGAGGAGTCTTAAATACAACATAGTGTAGTCGTGTGAAGAATAAGAAAATCACCAGCTTAGAGCTGGGTGTTCCCTGCTGCAGGGAGAATAGCCGCCCAGCCACTCCCTTCCAGTGCTGTCTCCACCTGGGGCAGTGTTCACTGGAATTTTATCTTCTCATCTGGATTTTTTTTTGCATTTATTCATTTACTAATTGAGTATATATA